GGAGAGGCAACAATTAAAATCCCTAAGGCTATCATGGGCAGTGTCAAGAAGAAGTCAATCCACCAAGGTCTGCATGTTTCTGGAGGGGTCTGATCCAAATTAAAATCCCTAAGGCCATCATGGGCAGTATCAAGAAGTAGTTCAATCCACCAAGATCTGCATGTTTCTGGAGGGGTCTGATCCAATACAGTGGTGCCTCGCATTATGATGAATCCGCTCTATGACAATCTTTTTGCAACTACAATTGCGATTGCAAAATGATGGTCTAACTGCATTATGATGAATCCGCTCTATGACGATCTTTTTGCAACTACAATTGTGATCGCAAAATGATGGTCTAAATGGGGGAATTTCGCTTAGCGATGATCGGTTCCCGAAGCAGGGAACCGATTTGTGCTTTACAACAATCAAAAACAGCTGATTGTTGGGTTTTCAAAATGGCTCCCCGCTGTGCTTAGGGACGGCTTCCTCGCTATACAGGCCGCCGTATGGAGGATCTTTGCTGGACGGTGAGTTTTTACCCCATTGGAACGCATTGAATGGTTTTCAATGCATTTCAATGGGGTTTTAAATTTCGCTTTACGATGTTTTCACTTAATGGCAATTTTCCTGGAACGGATTATCGTTGTTAAGCGAGGCACCACTGTATCTGAAATTATGAATTGGAACTCATTGGTTCAACTGGCTAGTCACCAATCTAGGAAGCTTGGGGTTCCTGCTTTTTATTCCAGCTCAATCTAAGTTAAAAGAAACTGGACGTAAACCCAGCGCTCCTGGAAGGGCTCTCTCACAGGTAGGGGGTATTTCTTTTGCTCCCAGGAAATGAATACACTGCCTTCTCCAAGGTCAATGACTCAAATCCCAACGACACTCGGCACAGCTTCCATTCTCGAGGGGCTCCACTGAGAGTCAAACAATCAGAGAGAAGTGTTGATTCTCTCTTAAGTTTGCCAAAATGGCGATTTACTTAGAACAGAAGTTCAGCTCATCAAACTAGGAGAGAGTCCATTCGTGGCTGGGAAAGAAATTAGTTTACTTTACTTTAATTGGATTTACACCCTGCCCTCTAGACGAGGTCTACTCAGGGCGGCTTACATACATAAAAACAAACAAGCAACATCTTAAAAACATTTAAACATCAAAATTTTAATCCACTGTGTGACCCATTTAAGGAATGAGGTAGTGTCCCAGGGACCTAGGAGTTTGTAAGGTGGAGGATGATGGAATCTCCCCATCCCCCAATAGAGAAACTTCCAAGTTGACTCCTCTGTATTATCCCATAATCATTTGTTTACTTCACGGGGCACCCGCCCTGTGGTAGGGTATGCCACGATCTTCCCAGCAATGGGTAATTCCAGTTCAAAAGGGAAGCCATGCAGATCTGCCCGCCGCAAGTGACCACGCGGGGGTCCAGGGCCAACACATCATGCAGGAAGGGAGCTAGTTCTCCCCTCTATCAGCCTACTGGCCATCTTCATGGCCAGCGGTAGAGAGGCATGGGTGTCCACGTGGAACCGGGGGCTGGAGACTTCAGACGATGGGGTCAGTACAAACTGAGCCACCGTGGGCATTTTCAGCAAGTTCATCAGCTCCGTGGCGCGCGTCAGGATCGCTTCCGCATCATCGGCGTTGTAGGCGGACGACACGGTCGGGTTCTGAACGAACGTCCTCAGCTTGGAGAGTAAGAGGGAGACCCTGGGTGGAGACACAGAGGCACAGAGTGAAGCGGGGTGTTGGCTTCCCAAGAGTTGGAACTAATTGGGGGGGCAAAGATTACAGTAGAACCCCCATATCTGAGGGATCGGTACACTTGGTTTCACTTATCCAAGGTCTGAAGTACAGTATTAAAAGAAAAAAATCCAGAAAAAAAAGTACACATGGTTTCACTTATCCTAAGTCTGAAGTACAGTATTAAAAGAAAAAAAATCACATGCATTACCAGAACTGGCCACTAGAGGAGCAAGACCCCATGCTGTGAATTCTTGTTGAAAATACATAGTATTATTGTATTACTATTTGGCACCCTCTAGTGAACAGTTCAGGTAGTACACATGAAAATATTTTTTAGGATTTTTCTTCCTTTACCATGCTACATGTGTTTGCTATTATCTGCGGTTTTCAGCATCCACAGGGGCTAGGAACCAATCTCCCATGAATATGGGCATGCTATTGTACTCATGGCAAAAAAAAGAGAGGGTAGCCTGCCTTACTAAAATGGATGGTTTGTCCCTGCAGTCCAAGAATTGGCCACTTTTGGGGACTGTAGTCTTCAGCTACACTGCGTACCGTGCATGAGAAGTGTAGTTTAACAAGGCATCCTATCCTGATTTACACAGGAAGGATAGGAAGATGAAGAGGCTACCTTTGGATTCAGACCATTAGTCCATCTCCAGCCGGTACAGCTTTCTGGCGTTTCTTTCTACGGAAATCAACTCCGTAGCTTGCAACCTGTTACTCTAACAGAGATAGAGAGGCACATCCTGTCCCCTAAACCCACAATTTTGTTTTGTTTTGTTGAAACCACCTTATTTTCTCCCTCTTGGAAGGTTCCAGGAGCTTGGTATGAAACGGGTGTGTGTGTGTGTGTGTGCAGAGAGACTGCACAGCTCCTGGCGAGCCCTGGAAATGGAAAATCGGCCACCGGACTTTCCAAAGTGGCTCTCCCCCTCTGTGCGACTGCAACCTTGGCCGTCCCCAGTCCCACCCACTCTGACCATCCTGATTTTCAAACCTCGGGATCAGATCCTGGCTGCGGGAGGCGAGCTTGGCCAAGGCGGTCATGAGCACCGAGACGACGCGGGGGGAGGACTTGGGGATGCAGGCCGAGGGGCGGAGCTGGGTGATCTCGAAGAGCATGGCTTCCAGGGCTTCGAAGAACTTGTTGATCTGTTCCACCGTGCACCTTCGGTCGTGCTGCACGGAGGCGTATTCGCCAACGGACCACACCTGTGGGAAGAGGGGAGGATTATGCCCACCTTTCCAGGCTCCTCTGTATAGCCAGAAGGGACAGGAACTCCATCCAGAGGCCCAGTTCTGGGGTGGCTCTGTGATACAAAGTGGGCCACACTAGCTGGGGGATGAGGACACTGACTGAACTCCACTATCCCCTCCCGAGACTCCCCTCCTGAACGTATATCTCGGCTCCAAGTAATAAGGAGACCTGCGGTCTGAGTCGGACGAGAGCAACTTCACTGGCTCTCGGGTGGCTTTTTCATGCCTTGTTCCAAAACAGATACAGAACGCACGGATTTAAAAACCCTCCTTCAGCTCTCTTCCATTCTGATTTTAACCAAGAACCCTATGAAGTTATGCATTCTTGAAGACTTTCACAGCCGGGATCCGATTATGCATTCTTGAAGGCTTTCACGGCTGGGATCCGATGGTTGTTGCAGGTTTTTGGGCTGTTTGGCCGTGTCCTTAAGAACACTATCAAACAGCCCAAAAAACCTACAACCACCTATGAAGTAAGTTGGCGAAGGGATAGGATTCAGACCTGCCCACCCCCCCGGCCTAGATCAGTCCCTCTAATTCTACTACACCTACCCTAGTTGAGTGTGCTCGACCAGCGGCAGTCAGGCAGCGTGGTATAGTGGTTACAGCAATGGCCAAGCCCTGCAAGAGCCAGCGTCGGCTTGCTGCTGACTCACAAAACACCCAGGCTGAGCTTGTGCCAGTCACTCTCAGCCTTGGGATCAATGGCACACATTTAGGCTGGCATTTAAAGAGAGTTTTACAAAAGGCAAAACATGGATTTGGCCAGGGAAGGAATTTCACAACAAATTCAAATGAAAAAAACAAACAAAAAAACAAACGAACACCAAATTTCTCTTTAGATTTCAAGGAGGTCTGGAAAATATCTCAAATCTTTCCTTCCGGGACGTGCGGCTTCTCTCCTTACCACGTGGATGAAGATGTCCTCTTTGCTCTGAATATTGGCGACTGCTCCTGAAAAATCTAGAAGTGGCTTGGCCAGTTCCACCACCAACGATGGGTGCAGTTTGCACAGAACCGGCAGCTGGGAGCTCATCACTCTGCCAGGGAAATAGGAGAATCAGGATGAATGGGGTGCTCCATAACCAGGAGACCCGGATCGCGACGGCTGGCATAGGACCAGCTTCTCAAACCACTGCGATCAGCTTCCATTTCTGAACAAGCTTTCAGTGGAACAGAGGTCTTGTTGTTCCGGAGTTTAGATTTATTTATTTATTTACCCATGTATTTTAGCGCCACTAACAGATAGCCCACCTTTTGAGAGTGACATTCAATAAAATAAAAGAGAAAGCCCAAGGGGCTTTGTAGCACCTTAAAGATTATCAGATTTTATTTAGCAAACACCCCTGGTGTAGGCAACTTCTTCAGAGGGTCAATTCAGTCCTTTGGGTGGTTTTGGGGGCTGACCGCACCCATCAGACCATGTATCCATACAGGCGTCTGCCATACTTAAGACAGAGATGACACCCATGTGGCTGAACCAATCAGCAGAAAACCAGCAGGGCGGGAGGAATTATAATTTTAAGAGAGCAGCTGTGTATCATCAAATCCCAAAGGGTTTTATTAAAAACAAGCCCTAGCATATAGGAATACCTGATAAATCACTGCCCCATTTATTACAGATTCCTTACTGTACGCATGTGCAGGTGTCAACAGGAGCTTGGGGGACCCAAAGGAGTGCCAGGATACATGGTTGATCTGCCATCTCCTCACCAGAGGTAGAGCAGCCTCCAGGTGAACTGGGGCCCAGTCTACCCATTCTAAACTGGGCTTGCAGGAAGTCCTGGGGATTGGTCTACCCACTCCTTGGGAGAAGTAGGCCAGGCCTCGGGGAGAGCTGCCCCCCCCCACTTGCCAGTCCCAAGTCCCAAACCTGAGTCCCTATTAAAAACAAGCTTTTCTCCCAGAAAAAAAGGAAGGGGGTGGGTGGGTGCTGAGTCACTGGGAAAAAAAACCCCAGAGCCAAGTCCGAGGAGAGTCACCGGTGCAACTTAAGTCTTAAGTTGCACTTAAGTGCAACTAACCCTGACCCTTGACAGTGAGTTGTACCAGTGGCTCAAGTCCCTATTCCTGCCTGGAGTCTGGTCCGCTCTTGCCCCACCAGAGAGAGGCCAAGCCTCTGGAACCCTGTTGGCGCCAATCCAGGTAATGCTCTCTACAGGTAGTGCAGCCTGAGTGCTAAGCGGGGGTTAATGTATTCCGATCAAGGGCTTGATGCTACAAAACTATTGTATCCAATCATTTCCACCACCCTTAGACTTGAGAAGAAAGCGATTCCCCCACCTGGAAGCAATTTTACTCCCTGGATCCTCCTGCGACCCTTTCCACCTTGACTAAGCCTGCACTCACCTGTACACCTCCATTTTGAAAGTGGGGATCTCGTAGAGCTGCTCGCTTCTCTCCAAAAGGGCCAAGACCAACTTATTTGCAAGGGTGGTGTCTGCGAACTGGAGAAGACAGACAAGCGCTCTTACTGCGGCTGGCTCCAGCTCAACAAGAGACAAATCAAAGAAGCTCCCCCAATTTAATTTTCAAGTCTCGTTACCAAGACTTACGCTCTCTGCGGAAATGTCACGGCAAGAGGCCAAACGGGTTAATCAGAGGAAGCGCGCAGGTCCCGTCCGGGTCTAAACAGGACCCCAACAGAAGGACTTTCTACGGAAAAACCGGAAGCTGAGCCTTGCAGCCAGAAGCTTACCTGAGCTACAACTCCAAAGAAGAGTTGCAGTAAAACAGGGACGCTCTCGGCGCACTGCACAACGCGAGGGGAAGCGGCCAGGGATCCCAATAGCTGCCTGATGGGAGTCAACCTGTGGGCCATAAGCCAACGAGAACGGTCTGATTGTGTGAAATTACAATTATTCCCTCCAAATGCTTCTCGTCCAGGAAAGTTTTGAGAGAAACCTCTCTCCCTCGCCAGGCGAACCCAGGCAGAGGACTCCAGGCAAGGCAAGGGGGGAGTGAGCTGGCAAGAAGCAGAACCCCCCTGGACAAGTCTTCACATCCACTCTGAACTCCTCTGGTGGCCCTCAACAAGGAGCTGGCAGCCCAACAGGGCTATGAGAAGACTGATGCTGGCATGGCTCACGGGCGTGATAGGGTTGCGCTGAAGGTTACAAAAGGAGTCAACCATCTTGGGAAGCCTCAAGGCAATGGCTAACCCCCGCTCAGGGTAGACCTAGTCCAGTGATGGCGAACCTATGGTGCGTGTGCCACAGCCGGCACACAGAGCCCTCTCTGTGGGCACACAAGCCATAAGTTACCATAGAGAAATACTTGCCCGTCATCTTATCCCAGATTTTGGCACTCCCCTCTGCTGGTGCAGTGGTCTAGCGGAGGGGGTGCAATGCCAAACATTACTGGTCTAGCCCAATGGGGGACTGGAGGACCAGTAAGTACTTATTTGTTAATACCGCCCATAGGGGGAAAAACAACCAAGCATTTAACCCTTGCAGTGCAGGAGCAGTTGTTTTTTCTAAACTAAAACCTCAGCAT